GGGGGGGGGGGGTCATGCATATTCAGTTGTTATTAGCTAGGGAAGGCTAGGGGAAAATGGGAAAAGGGGGGTATTACAAGCAACTCTACCATTTAAATATTGCATTGGGTAGCATAACTATACCAAAAAAAAAAGAGAAAAAAGCCAGGCACAATAACACACACACAAAAGAAACATAACACACAAAAAAAAACTAGCTTGACTTTTATCTTGCAAGATGTCACATCTGCCTGACACATGATGGGGCTCTTCTAATATGAGAGATAATTGCAGCTCACTTACCATTGCTCTCTGCTTGCTGCTTTTCCCTTTTTCTCTTCTTCCTTTTCCCCTGTTGGTTAGCCGCCAAAAAAATAGAAAGAAAAAAATAGACACAGACAGGAACCTTAGTTATTATATTGCAGAATGCCCAAAACATGAAACAGAGAATAGGACTCATCTTTGTGTTTACTTATTTATTCATTCATTCTTTCTCTGCCTTTTTTTTTTTTTCTGTCTCTGCCCTCCGGTTTGTAACAGCCACTACAGGCCAGACCAGAATCCTCCCTCCTCTGTTTTCTGTCTTTTTCTGTTCTTTTCTTCTTTCTCTGTAATCTTTTGTCTTATTTTCCTCTGCTTCTCTGAACATCTAAGACATCTTGACGAGCTTCTGGTTTGGAAGACAGATTTCTCTAAGGCTGCTTATGGAAGACTCTGGTCAGCTTGATCCCAAATCTGGACAAAACTGATGAGAATCTGCACATTTATGTGTCAGAACAAAGTGTTCATTCACCGCGGATTCAAATAAACAACATTATTGTCAGATTTTGTTACAAATATTCCTTCATGTCACAACAAGATGGGCTAAAGTCAAGGAAATATGTCCCAGTCTCAGATATAGATATCAAAAGAGAATTACAGGAAGAAAGTGACCACTCAGGCTAGATAAGAAAAAAGCAAAAGAAAGAACTCATCCTGGTCATGTCACCTAGCAAAAGGGGGAAAAGAACAGGCCGTTACGACTTGTAAACTTAAAAACTTACATAGTTGTCTCGTGCTGACCAGCCTGGGTACAGCTGCATGTGGAGCTGTCGCTCTTTCCTGGCCAGCTCATAGTACTTGGCCTGCTCCTCCCGTGATAGGGCATGCCACTGTCAATTGAGAAACAACAAGAAGACAAAGAAAGATTTTTACCATGAACAGGAAAAGTATAGGTATGCAGGTTGTGAACTGGACTTAAAATCTACAATGCTGGGCCATCAGGTCACCCCAAAAACCTCTTTATTAATAGGCCTGTGAATTCCTATTGTGGTCCTATATTAGCCCAGCAGGCTTTTAACTGTATTCACTTTGAATCCCAGCTGGTAATCAGCCCATGTTTAGAAAAAAAGTAGTAGGGTGGTGGATCCTGAGCACCAGGATTGAGAACCACTGTGATAACTTTGACCACTACAGCGTTGGTGTGTGTCTAGTGATGTTAGGACTTACCCTCCGCCCCAGGATCTGGTTGATGGCAGCGCTTTCCTTCAGTGTGCACTCAGCTACCACCTTGGCCCGCATCTCCTTCATGTAGAGCATGAAGGCATTCAGAGGTTTCTTTATGTGGACCTGTTTCTTTTTCTCCTCTTCCTTTTTAGCGTCTGACTGTTTCCTGTGGAGGACCAGAGGGCAGAAAGGTGAGCAGAGTCAACCTACGACTCAGTTATGTAAGGTTGAAACACGAGTTTAGGGCAGTGAAAGTCTACTCACGAGCTGTTGAGAGAGCTGATGTCACTGTGGGAAGATTCCTGCTTGACGTTGGGTGTGACGATGGCTGGGTGTGGGATGCCCGTGGTGTGCAAACTGTGGTGAGGGGGCACCATGTGTGGGGGGAACCTGGAGGACAGAAGACTGTGTAAATCGTCAGAATGGACACGGGTGAAATGAGAAGATGGCGCACATGTATACACAGACTAAAAGGGCTAAATTCCAATCCCATCTTTCAGACATGTCAAAATAGTTTTCCAGTTTCTTTCATAGGAATGAAATTAGCCTTTAGTCACAAGAAAAGACATAAATGCACATACAAAACATCCACATGAAAATGTCCAAGGCTGATTCCTGTATTATTATTCACAACCAATTAGGATAGATTTTACCACTTAAAATGAGTCTTAGGTTAAATGTCACAGAATTTAATTTAATCACAGAATCCAGCCTGGACAGCTATACACTTTACACAAAGGTATAACAGCAAATAATGACAAATCATCACTAAACCATCAGTAAAATATCATTTGATAAAGCTAAATTGTGTGGCAGTTGCACAAGGATAAATCTCGAGTGAAACAACTCAAAAGAAAAAAAACTATACACTGAACACTTGAGCTAAGTGAATTTTTGTTACCTTTATGTAATTACAACCTCATTGAGATCCATAATCTCTAACAAGAGTATCCTAACAAATAAAGGCAACAATTCATGTCAGATTCAATGAAATGCACCTTGAACCTTTCTACTCATACTGTAGTTACAGAAAGATTATGCAGACTGATATATCAGTGCTGAGACTTCTAGATTTAGAAGAACCATTGAGGTTTTTGAGGAAAAAGTTCATACCTGCCTCAACAATTGTCACCTATGATAGCTGAGCCAATTGTATTAATAAGATTTAGGTGACATTGACAATGTCGTTCTGTCATCTGTAGATGTCAAATGCCAATCACAAAACTTCAATTCATTGTACAATTTGAGGAAACTGCATTTTTAGCAGTTACATAGATATGAAAATGCCAGGTTTTGGAGGGGTAAAGCCTGAACCTCTATCTCTTATCAAGGAATATTGCAAACTAGATTAAAATGTTCTATCAAAGTCTGGTATCACTTCAGGTATTGGGTCTCTATTTGCTTCCTCCCATTCTATTCTGCCAATTCAGCACTGTCAGCAGCACTGACATTTTTATCTTCATCCCTCTACACTCCTATCATCATTTCATCATCTCCAACCGCTCCACATATCCAGGCCAGAAACCCTTATTTATGAAATCGTTTCACAGGCCAGAACAGCCATAAGACGCCGCTTTACTGTATGTGCCAGTGTATGTATGACACTAATTATTTGTGTTTGAGCGTGTGTGCATCTAACTGCATGTGTATATTTACAGCGCGGCGCCTCGGCTCCACGTGACCACACACAAATTTAAGAGAAGAGAGGAGGATGAAGGAGAAGAAAAAAAGGAGGAATAATTCTTTTTTTTTTAAAGCAGCTCATTATCTGGCTGTGTCTGGCTGCATGGCTCCGAGCCAGAATATAATGATGAGGATAAACTCGCCAGGAACAACTAGTTTCTGTTGGAGGCCATCTCAGGGGAGTGCCAGTGTGCTCCCCCCTCAAACTCTTTCCCTCTTTTTCTCCTTTCCCCTCTTCTCCCTTCATCACTGACACATTGGTGTTTGTGCCATGTCATCCGTTGATGGGGAGCTCGGCAGCAGTGGCTGCATATCGCCCATCATTAGGACTGCTGCATTTTCTTCGCTCACTGCGTTTCCTCTTTCCCTGTTCACCCTCCCTCCTTCTCTCTCTGTGCACTTGTTAAAATTTCCTCTGTTCCAAGATCTATTTTTTTCTCTTCTTCTTCTTCTTCTCTACTCCTCCCTGTCCCCTCACCACCTCCATGCTCCTTTGCTTCCTCTCTCCCTCCCTCCTTCCCCTCCTCCTGCTGCCACTGCATGGCCCAGGTTATGGTTTAAACATGACGGCCATCCCTTTGAAGCGTGGGGGCATCATCATCATCATCCGGGCTCATCAGCAGCAAGCAGCGCCTTGGACCAATTTAACCAACACAGAGAGGGAGACGCAGTGGAGACCCCCACCCACCCATCCACCCACCCCAACCCTGGGGCTTCTACGTCTCAATCTGAAAGGTAAGAATGGCTGGCAGTGTTGGGGTGGGGGGGGTCACTGGCGCAGCAAGCCCAGTGTCAGCCAGTGCCATTTAATTGCCAATGCGAAGGAGTAGCCCCCGTGCCTGTTTAATGTATAATGATCCGGCCGGTGCGCTTCTCGCGTTCCCAAGGAAAAGAGGGAGAGCGGGATGATGGGGGAACATATCAAAGGGCAGGCTTAAGCATAAGGGGCAAAGGGGCCTTCACATCCTCCCACCTGTCACACATACATTCACACGCACACACACACATTATAGGGGACCTGCACTGGCTCCAACCCCATTATCAAAATAATGTCTTTCATTTGCTCTTCTGTCTGTCTCTACTCTCCTTGTCTCTTTTTCCTCCCGTCCTAAAAGAATGCATTTTTTAACAGGACCTAGGTGTAAGGTGCTCATTGCAGGACTACCAGGTACCTGATTCATTCCCTGCATCCTAATTCAGTTCCGGCTACAGCACAGGGGACTGATACTGAAGCCGCACGCTCCTGCAAAGAACCGGCTCCTGACAAGAGTACAAGGCCAGGATGTCTTTTCCCTCCGATTTCCTCCACTCAGCCTGCTCCGTACAAATCGTTTGAGCTATCAAAACAGTCTGGTCCATTCTTTGAACAAAACCAACTGGCTGAAGGCTATGTATAAAAGGATTCAGCCATTTTGTTGACACAATTAGACATATTTTTTACAAGACTTTGTCAACAAATTGACTCTTTTCCTCTGTCACGTCAAAATCTGAATTTAGGGTGGGATTTTTTCATGTGTGAGGAGGGAATTTTTTTTTTTTTTAGGGGGAGATGTGCTAAACCCTCCCATTCTCCAGACAGCTCCCAGAGCCCTCCATCTATTCAGTTATACTAATTCAATTAGGGGCCTCATCACAGGGCATTAGCTCTTCCCCATGGCCAGTCCCCCCCCCACACCCCAGCCAGTATATTCAATTAACTGCACTGGAAATAAGATGATCACAATGTAGAGGCTGTCATTAAGGGACCAAATTAGCAGTCACTTAAAGCCCAGGTTGGCTGGGTACTGCTGCCAGATGCCGACGTCTGAACAGACCCACCGTCTGACCCTTTTCACCTAAGACTTGCTTGGGAAGAGCTGGAAGGGTCAAATCTGACTCTAATCCAGACACCCTTCTCTAGTATTAGTTTAAAAGTAACATTTGATGCAAGAAGGTATTTATATTTGACTCACAAAAAGGGAAACTTTAACAGCAAAAAACGGAACTGGACTGCTTACAAACTCAGTTTTCCCTTATTCTCAGGGCTACGCTTTAAAAAATGTTATTCCCCTCGCGACTCCTCCCTCCCTGCATCTACATGATCCATCAATGTCACAGAGGTCTAAACATGCCGCCCTCAGGAGCTGCTTTTCCAATCAGGCTGTAATTAAACTAAAGCTTGGCCTCATCCCTAGACTCTAAACCAGCCCCGTCCAAAGTCCCCTGCTGCAAGGGCGTGTAGAAGGGAGGGGAGGAGGAGGGAGAAGGAGGAGGAGGAGTGGAGGCAGTGGAGTGGGAGGCTGTTTGTTTTTTGTGTTGTTGCTTTTTTGGCTCCTCTAGCCCCACAAATCACGGGCTTTTAGTCATCCAAAATTAATTCTTTTGCTTCCCACCAATATAGAGGACATGTGTCCCTCAAGGGAACAGTAAGTAGTTTAACACCAAATGACAAACACACACATGTATACAAGATGGCAACAAATACACATACCCCCCATGGGTGCACTAATGTCCACAGCAGCACTTGAGCTGGACCCTAATGGGCTGGACCAAAGCGCTAGCCAAGTGTCAGGCCCCAGCTTATATCATCTAGTCCCCTTCAAAGTGTTGCTGTGTTTGTTTATCTGTCTGGCTGCTCAGACTCACAGCAAGGACATGCCCCAGCTCATTTCAGATCTGGCTGACATGCAGTGGGGGTAAATGTTCTTCAGGGGCCTCATTAGAAAATGATAAATATAATTAATATTTGAGCATGCTAGCTGGAGCCCCACACTGGAGAATTGGCCTTTTGAACACAGAGATGGGGAGTGTGAGCTCTCCTTAAGGGAGAAGTTACTGCTCCCTGTCTCTGCATGTGAGTGTGCATGTGTGTTGCTTGTGCATTGCCCTCACAGCCAACACAAACACACAACTGAACGTGTGAGTGAGAGAGTGTGTGTGTGTGTGTGTGTGTGTGTGTGTGTTTAGCTCCTAGGACTCAACTCACCTTGACATGGATGCGTTGACAGTGAGCGCAGTTGGGTAGGGGTGTCTAAAACCCCCTGTTGTGATTGGATAAACAGGTTGACCTTGCCTGGGAAGGGGGAAGAAAAGAAGAAAGGCGAAAAGGTAAAGGAACCGGGTTGATGGAAGAGGAGAAGGTAAAGCCCTCTGTCTCTCTCCTCTCCCCACCGTGGGCCTCTTTATTCTCATTTGATCAGGACAAAAATCTAGGGGATTGCAGAGCGCAGATCAAAGGGAGGAAAACTCTGAACAATTTGAATGCCACAAATCTTGATAGCAATGGCTAATTAAATTTCATAACCCTTCGCTCGGTGTCGACAGAGTGGGGCCCTGTTCCTCCCCAAGCTGGAACTAGGTGTTTTGTTGTGATAATTAAAGACGAAGCGCGGGTCTCTTTAATGGAGCCATCACGCTAATTGAGGTCTACACATTCAAAGACAAACAATAATGAATGTAAATTTATACCAAAATAAAGTGCAGCAAATCAAAGGGCGCCATGGCTGCGCTCGGGGCCTCTCTCGGTATTTAGATCGCGGTGAGAAAACATTAAATTAACAGAGCTTAATTTGTAGCCTTTTGTCATATTAACAAGTGTTGACAAGAGTTACCAGGGGAGAGCCCCCGTGTGGAATTGTGGGTAAAATACGGGCAATCACGGTTCATTACTCTAATTGGACCATACAGAGACATGCAAAATAGTATTTGCCACAAAGTAGCAAGTTGAGGTGGGTGAGGGCCTGAGGAAACTGCAATGGGCTGCTGTGGTCCAGGAGTGAGTGAGTTAGAAAGTTAAGGGATCAAGTTTAAGTTTTAGAGGACTCAAACACAGAGAGAGGACACACTCTAGGGACCAGGAGAAGACAGAGACAGCTTCCATAAATGACTTTGTGTACATAAAGACCAACATGCTGCTGCACAGTGTACACACATGTAAGGTAATATCTGCTTTCATTGTTAACTGTTAATCTCTTTAATGATTTAGCTTGATATTCAGTTTATGCTTATTAATCATTACAGTATGTGGGTGTTGCCAGCCTTTTTCACACAACTCATAAGAGAATACAGTAGAAAGAGTAAAAAAAGATTTGCTTACTGTGGTACTAACCATCCTAGCGGATGGGGGATCTGACCGACAGTGCCAGGTGACAGTGGGTAATAAGGAGATATATCTGGGGGATGTGGAGGCCTTGGAATTCCTGTGGAAGAAAGAGGATGACAGGAGCAGAGAGGAGGTGGACAGACAAGATGATGACAGAGAGAGAACCAAATCTTTGTCAGTGCTGAATTCATTCATTGTTGAGAGTTTCACATATGAATGGGGCAGACATCACAGGAGTGCAGATGGGAGGAAGAGGAGGAGGAAGAGGGCTTGTTGCTCGCATGTACACAGTGCTAAATCACACTTCCTGATCAAAGGCCTTTGAGGCGGCGGCGGCGGCACAATGTGTTGGATGAGGCAGAGGGGAGAGAGGTGAGGAGAAAACACCAACACGATTCTTGTCACATTTGTCTACTGATTCAGAAGACTAATGATATAAAATGACTGAGGTTTAGAAGTTAACAAAACACAACAATATAATTAAAGCCTTCTCTGTGATCAGAGAGCTGCTAATACAGGGCTGCAGGTAGAGTCAGGCTGATTTATCCAGATATACTGGCTGGATGGATATGCATTTTACCTGATATACATGAATAAACCAATATTAGAAATATGCAACAATTACAGATTATGATCTGAGGTTACAACAATTATTTTAAAATTAAGTTATTCTTCAGTTTAAATCAATACTTCTGCTTTTGACTCATATTAATTGCTACCTAAATATCTATACGTTCAGTTTTATTGTGAGTTTTGACACGGTTATTAAAACGGGGTGTGTACATTGGCTCGTCGATAGCCATTTGTCCAACTGATCCTCAGATTTAACACAAAAAAACGCAGCAAATTTTGTTTGTTATCCCCCACAGACGAACAGTGACAAAGATGTCCAATTTAAGGACAGCTCTCGTTGAGGGCATCGCCAAGCAATCACAGCGTCCGCGGTGTTGCCTTTTACTTTCCGTGGCAGCTGACAGGCAAAGAAACTGCTGCCCTGAATGAATGCCTTGAAAAGGTCTCGTACACAGCCGGGTGTAAAAATAACTTTCTCTCTCATGACAAACTTGAAACAGGCAACACTAGACATGTGTAAAAGCACAGCAAGGAGGTGTGTGCGCTCAGTAGAACAGGAACTAGGGGACTTTCATTTTGGCTGATATGTGTTTCTTACACACAGCTGGCTTTGCCTGTGCAGCTGTTGCCGGAGATATTTTGACCAGTGCCAACACGGCCGAATTAGAGCCAGATCAGTCTTTGCAGATCAGAACTTGGCTGGTGTTGGTGGTTACACCCAAAGTCTGCAGCTGATCCAGGTTATCCAGGAACTGACTCTGGGATTCTGTTACTGATGGACAATGTGCTGTGCAGCAGTTTCTGCCCAAGCAGAAAACTTTACTTGGAATACTGTTATAACAAAGGCAAGTTCTATTAAAAAAGAAAGCCTTACGAACATTATCCCATTGCCACACAGCGCTGAAGACCTAATATAGCTCATTAATTAATTAAACACTGAGCCCAATTAAGCAGCCCCATTAAGCACTACATTAAACAGCAGCTGGCGCATTATTTCCCCCTTGTAAGGACCATCATAATAAGGGAACATTATTACCTAAAACATTGACTGAATCCACCAGAGACCACTGGAAAGCATGGAATTATTCACCGCACTGAAAATGCATTAACCTGAAAGGATGGGCTGAATGACAGTTAACAAAATGAAGTGCTGGGTCAAGATGCTCACGGAAATGAATGAAATTGCCTTAAAATGTATGCTAAATGGTGGTGGGCAAGGGATGTGTGGGCAGAATCTGACTGCTAAACGTGGACCCTCTGAATCTGTAGGATCAACAGGCTATAAAGACATAACTACAGTTCTGTGGATAATCAAAAACATACAAATTCAAGTGCTTGGGTCTTCCATTATAAAGATTTTTGTGTACTTAGCTGAAGACATCATTCATTGACAGAAAGCCTTGAGGACTCAGTTTGTACTGCTCTCTGGCTGTCTTGTTTTGAGCCTTGGCAAATGTACTTGTGGTCGAGGTTGTTTGCTAAATTCCATGTTTAACGAGAGGTTTATGAGCCACTGTTCAGGTTCTTGTTCTCAAATTTAGGGCCACTTTCCACTGAGGCCAAGCCACGTTCATTAGCGTGCTAGCTAAATCAATCAGTAACAGATGAGAGCAGAAGTTGTCAACAAGAAGCACATCAGATGACTATGACTTTGTCCCACTTTAACAGTATCAGTTCATTTGATAAGCAATTAATGGAAACATTAGACATTTCTATGTATGGGTGGTGTCAGTTTTAAACAAGACAGTTGTTTAAACAATACAGTCTACCTCACAGAACACCTGTGCTGTGAACGTGACGCTTGAATTACGTTTTAATCTTGATCTGTTTTTACAAGAATGTGTCTACAGACAGACAGACGCCATCAAGACAAACACAGTCCTGAATATGTGAACCGTAGTGGCAGGGCGTAATAAAACATTTACACAACCATCAGTGCAAAGAGGTGACGTGCCTTATCTAAGGAAAGCCGCTTCTGTGCTTTTCTCTCAACTTCTTTTTGAAATGTATGTTCAGAAGTTTCGCCCTTTAAAAACACACTGTGCTGTTTACTAATGCTGTTTTTCGGCAGGATTCAAGCTGCATGTTGCTAACAGAAATTCTATTTTGAATAAAAAATCTCCAATCAAACATACACACATGCGGTGGAGAAATACTTTGGGCTTTACCTGTTTTGGGATCCACGTCTGTCTGTAGGTGAGGTGGGGGGTTCCCCGGTGTGAAGTGCTCATTGCTGTAGGTGATCAGAGGCGTGAGAGGGTGCACATGGTGAGGGTGCTGTACCACTGGAACCTTATTAGACTGAGAGAAAGAAGAAGCAGGGAGAGACAGACAGTAATAAAGAGAGAGAAAGGGGGAAAGGAAAAAAAAGAGGCCAGGGCGTTAATATTTGGGTTAAGGGTTAGAGATTGCAGGCGCTTGCCACAGAATTACAACTTGGTCTGAAGGCTCTCGAAAGAAGAGCTATCAAATTCTGGGTACTCTAGAGGCGCCAAACCACCAAGCCACAATGAAAATAGTGTGGTTTGTAATTAAAAACACTTCTGCGGTGTCACCCTGGAATTCAGTAACACAATATAAGAGGCTTGGGGGGTTGCCAGTTCACATTTGGGTCTGATGTGTGATGAGGCACTTTTAACCATGGTTGCAGTGAAGTAATCGATCATCTGTAAACCACGAAATCAAGGCAGCGCGTGTAAATCCACAGTCATTAGCAGCTCCAGTCAGCACTCCGCTTTCCTCCTCCTGGTCTCCCCTTTTCCTCATCTATTCCCCCAGGGCCCGGTTCATGGAGGGTAGGGGTGTATTGTAATAAAAGGGTTAGGAGAGAGGAGGTGGGGCTGAAAATCCATTTCTGCATTTTTGCCAAATTAGTTTTAGCTATGTAATCTTCTCTTTGTGCTCCTAAGTGGTGCAGGCCCCCTTTTTTCAATTACCCAAAGATTACAGTGGAGCTTTAGGGGTGTGCTGCCGTGGGCCCCTGTGTTAACCGGAGCTCAGCCCCTCTCATCAGGCCAGGCCCGAGACAGACACTAATACACACAGTCCCCGACCACAAGATAACCAGATTAGAGGTCTGCTGTAGATTAGGCTGGTGGAAGAGACTGCTCTCGCCTCTTTACCCACACATCCTTATCCTGCCCTCAGCAGTCAAAGAAGCAGCACTAATCAGGCTTATCATAACATGGATGATATGTTCAGGGGGAGAGGAGTGAGACACCAAGCTGCTTGCCTGTGTGTGTGTGTGT